AAAAAAAGGGGGTTGTGACTTAAAAGGGCTTTAAACCCAACCCAAGATCCCAAAAAAAAAAAAAAAAAAAAAAAAACGTTGGGTGGAAACTGCTGAAATTTTGCAAAAAATGCCAAGACGAGGGTTGTGTCTGCACTTTCCTTTGAACTATTCCTCACCCTAATGATGCTGTACATCCAGGATCTCTCGCATCATTCGTGGTCGAGACTTTGCCTTCTTTTTTTTTTTTTTGGCCTTTTTTCTAATGCTAGATGTCACCCTGTGCTCAGCAAGGAGCACAGATACACTCCCCTCCCCCGCGTGACCTTTCATTCCCAGAACGAAGTGCCAGATTATTTACTGAAAGCCCCCTGAAGTAAATTAGAAAGAAGAAGCCACGGCAACAGGCATAATTATTACAGTTTTTCTCAGGTCACACCCTTTTGTGCTGCAATTATTGTCCTTTCATTCTCATATTGCCGCATACCCCAATACTTCAAACATATTCTTTAAACCATAACTGAGGTGTCTTGGAGAACTTTTCTAATCCTTCTAATCAAGAGATACGCTCATTGATTCACCACCAATCGGAATCAACCCATTTCCCTTCGATTGGCTCAAAATGGTGCTTGGCAAAAATCAAATTGAAAAAAAAAAAAAATCTCTGTTCTAATGTGAATCTTTACAAACTTCTATTCCAGACTGATGAACTCAGTGACAATTTTACCAACTATGAAATTAAATGTTGCACCCTGACACTGTTTTAAGATAAACATAAGATAAACATAGCTCTATGAATATGCTGGTACATAATCAAGTGATATAAATAGGTCTCCATTGTTGGTTTCTGAATAGTAATAGGCTTTTAGAGCAGCTGTGTGTGTGTGTGTGTGTGTGTGTGTGTGTGTGTGTGCCATCCTCATCTGTCGGCTAAGGAAAATTTTGGCACTGTATTTGAAATGCATAGCTTCCTGTTCGCTTTGATGGAATCCCTTCTCGGTGGCCTCGGGGGAAATCATGGCTGACAATGGTTTTTGGGGAAAAGAAATAAAACAAAAAAAAACAAAAAACATACAGACACAAAAATAAGTCGTAGCGTTCTCCAATATGGATCTCTTTCTGTATTTGCATGGGATGTGTTTTGTCAGTCAGAAAATGTGGAATTTTTCATGAGTGAGAGTGGAAAGCAAGGTATTGGTTGTAAAAGTGATCTGACATATTCACTGGTGCTTGCTGTGAATATATTCCATTCTTTTATATGGAATATAAAAGAAAACGGATCAGCAACAATTTAATCCAGACAACAACTTACAGCTGCAAAATAATTCGCAGTCCTTTAAAACCAAAAAAAACCAAAAAAAAAAACATAAGCCTTCTCCACATTTTCTCACATTATAATCACAAACCTGTCTGTAATCTATTCAAATTTAATGTCATAAACTAATATAAAGTTGTAAATAACTGACAAAAACTGATTTTCACATGTTTTAACATATGAAACTCTGAAGAGTGTTTTGTTTGAATTAGCTGCCTTCACCCCTTAATACAAGCCATTGCAAAAAAAAAAAGTAAAAATAACTCTTTCGAAAACAAAATGTGTTAGTTGCGCAAAACAGACAACACTGTGGCGACATAATGCTGTCCGGATGCTTTTCTTCAGCATTAGTCGACAGAGGACCATCTTAGATGTAAATCTGTTATAAAATGCAAATAAGTTGAGATGTGCACCCATAATGAGCCATTCTGAAAAGGCTTCCTCTTGTGTTAGAATGGCCCAATCAAAGTCCAGATCTAAATCTGAGGTTAGAAATGAATGTTCCTATAATGCTTTCATTCAATCTGATTGGACGTCTTCACAATTATGTACTGTTTTGTGTTGATCTGTCACATTAAATGTGTCAGGACTGTGATTGTTCCATGTCAGAATGTGAAACAGGTGTGAGCATTAGCATGTAGTGCAACTAAAATAAGCACTACTTACTATGGGACTGGCATTGATGTAATCCGAGTTGCTGTGGTTGTTCTCTGATTTCAAGGTGATCCGGGAATGATCATCTGAAATGAAGATGCATAATTCATCTGTACAAGTTTCAACATCCTTTCCTTCCTGCACAGCAACTGCAGGATTTTTGAACAGCAGCACCAGAACATGAAAACTGAAGGACGTTCAGTTTCACCAGACTTTCATCAGACACAAAAACACACACAAGGTGTCTCCAAACCTCTCCCTTCACCCTAAATAAAAGATTTTTTGACCCTAACAAGGTTTGGTTTTAATCTGTCAAACTGACATTTCTAAACAATGCCAACTTGAAAAAAGCCTCGAGATTAATTTGCAATGAAGACACCTGTTTGGTATTCTTGTGAGACACAGTGTTGAATTTAAAAGATACTTACAAATAGGCACGATTAAAACTTAGTCAACATTCATTTGGCTCAACCCTAAATAATATCCTACATTGATGTTTAATAAATGTTTTTTTTAAGTAGATCTGCACTAATTTGGATATAATTTTTTTACACATTTGGAAAAAAATCTCAGTCCAGATGGGCTCTGAAATACCAACTAAAAGACTGAGATATTTATGCCATGCCAGTAGGTGGCAATAATGTTACCACTGACATCAAAACTCAGAGGAAGAACATCCTCGACAGACTGAAGTACTGCTGGGCTAAAGATTCTTTCAAAATCATGAAGTTTGTCACATTATTTTTGCTTTACACAGATTTTTTTTGTTGTTGATATATGATTAACAATAAGAAGAAAATCACCATCAAAAGCAGAATCATGTTATACATATATTACAGATTATTTCAAAGGTGCTAAATAATTGCAGGAGTCGCCCCCCACTGGCCATTAGAGGACGTGGATTTACTTTTTCACGTCAACACTTTTAGCCATCTTTTGCTAAAAGTCATGGTTTTTCCTTTGCTAAGTTCATCACCTTTACCTTAACTCTTTAAAGAGGTCCTTGATCTAAATAGGAACCTGTAGCGTTTCAGATGGTAAGATGAACTTTTAAAAACCTGCTAAACTGAATACTACAAAGCAGAGATTTAGTATCTTAGAAAACACAGCAATAAGAAACAAGTACCGGGAACACACAGGGGAAAAAAACACTCAACTAAGAACAAATCTAAGTAAAATGGAAGAAAATAGAACAGAAACAAATCTTAATCCATTTGGGCAACTTGTGATTAGTCGGACTGGAATGTCTCTGAAAGTAGAAACAAAGAATCTTCTTTTTTTTTTTTCCTTGCATTTTGCATTTCTCTAAATGAATGAATAGTTGTTAGGATTATTATTTATTGTTTTTTGTTTTAAATAAGCCAGTGATGCTTTGGCTTGCCAGACTTATAGCTGTGACCAACTGTCACTGCAACTGCTTCCTACAGTATCCACCCCCCGCCCCCCCCAAAAAAGGGTCCCTGGTGCCACATTTGTATAAAAACAAACTTAAAGGGAGGTTTTTCAAGGGCTGTTCAGCCAACTTGTAGTCAAGACTTTGACTTTGTCACCCTCACTGCCATAACAAGAAGATACAGCTTCATATCACATTTAATTTTATTAATACAGTACAAAGTGTTTTAAAGACACTTAGGGTACATATTTATAGATATATATGTAGACAGAGACAGATTTTCAAGGAGGGATTTATAAAGTAAGTGTAATAGACACTTTTTGGCAAGACAGCTGCCAGTGATTGTTTGCTTTGGAAGCATATTTTCCAAAGTATTGTTCTGGCCTGTTTATCAGTCTGCTTTTATACTCCATCTGTTTAAAGAAAGTGATGCAAACACATTGCTGACCCTTCATTCTTCCCATCTTGGACATAATAGAGACACTTTCACAAGCCAAACAGAACAACACCAACAAAAAGGAAAAGAAAGTAACAGATCTGAGGCAAACTTACAAACGACCACGGCATCAGCTCGGTTCCTCTTGGAGTTCTGCTCGCCTTGGCCAACGCTGCAGGCGCTGGGCTCGGCCTGGTAGGAGCACAGCGCCTCCCACTCGCGCTCCAGACGGTTCTTGTTCTTCAAGTGGTCCTCCATGTACGACTGGAGGGAGAACGGAGAGACCATTTTAAACAAGAAGCCAGAGCAAAAAGGAAAAAAAAAAAAAAATCATTTTCTACTGCGGTTTCAAGTCATTGCTTATTGTTGTGTATCAATCAAAATTCTGAAAATAGTAACCGAACAATAAAAATAGCAAATTATGATTCCTGAGCAGCTCGGGAAAGAGAAGGAAGATACCGAGGATCAAAGTAGGGAAGGGCGTCATAATGTTGGCATATCTGTGCATGTGTGTTTGACCAAGAAACACACATAGACACACACTCGCACTCATACACACTGACACAATTAGGACTCCTGAAAGGTTTGTCTGCTTTGGAAATACTTCAGGGGTGTTTCAATCACGTCCCTCACTGCTTGCACAGCCGCTGATAAGATTGTCTGCATTTAAGCCGTCGGTTGGAGAAGACAAAATTGAATTCGCTCTAGAGACAAAGATGGAGAAAGAAAAAAGGGGGAGGGGCAAGTAGCAGCCTGCCTGCATGCGCGCACGCACGTCTGTGTGTGTGTGTGTGTGTGTGTGTGTGTGTGCAGTCTGCTAAACCAGGGCAAGTCTTATGGAGCTTAGAGTTTGTGCTGGCAAGGAGATTCTTATTCTTTTTATTCTTTTTTTTAGTGTGGAACATTATTCCTGTATCATGGCTCTCTTTCCGATGGGGGTTAGATGGTTCAGTCCGCCTATTGTGCGAGAGAGAAGATTACAGACTCATAAACTGATGTCAGGGATCAGCTGGCTAATACAATGACAATGATACCCAGATGTGCCGTGTTTTTATCCCGTATTAAGAGCGGTATATAGGTAGGCCGGGCAAAGAGGTGATGCTCCGCTTTCGCTACATCGAATTCATTCATTCATCCTGCCTGTCAGCCACAAAGAAAATCTTTGAAAAAGGAAAGTGACAATTACTTCCAAAAAGATAATCACAAATAAGCTTGTCCGACAGAATAATAGGCTATTAGCCTGTGAGACATCAGGAGTGTAAATTGAGGTGACTTTTCTATAAATGTTCCTCTAAAAATTCTGTTTTTATAACATTCTTGACATACAAACAGGTTTACTGTACTTGTACATGTTATGTTCCACAAATTAGGCAACAATATCATTCGGATATGTGGTAAAGGGGTATTTCACAACATTTTAATAGAACACACCAACCAGAATGAACCAAACTTTCAGTCAGAGATTAGCTGATTGGAAGCTAGAAAAGCAGATCTTTTTACTGATCAGTGAATGTCCCACACATAAGTACTAAACCGGGCGCTGACAAGATCTGTGGTTTGGGTGTTTTTAATTTGGGAACAAGACTCGGTTAGCTATTCTCAGAATCACTGAGGAGTTTAAAAACGGAGCCAAAGGAGGCAGAAATGCTGCAAGAAGATTCTGGGAAGAAAAGTTTACCTTCTATTTTCTAGCTACTGTTTGTTCAGAAACTGACAGAGAGAGTTCAGGGAAAAAATATGAAGATAAATTCACAGAGGTGGTGCTCCGCTTGTACACTACTATATTTCAATCTGTTGAAGACTCATGTTTGATAATTTATTGTCTACTTTGCAGTCTATTTCATGAAAAGGAGTGGAAGGAATATACTTCTTTTTAGTAGTGTTGTTATTATTATGGGTATTTATGTTCCACAATCTGTGATGCAGAGAGACACAGCTCTAAAACTCTTTTTTTTAAGGCTTTGTTTTACTTTATTGTAAAACGTTTTCCAAACCACTTCAATTCTGAATGTTGGTGTAAAGTATTTTCTTGTTATTCATTGTTCTACAATGACATTAGAAGCAGCTAAAATTTGTATCGGAAGGTCAAGTCTTTACAAAATTGGTGAACAGATCCCAGTCACAAAACTTATTAGTGCAAGCTTATTCGCAAACTTAGATTTTCTTTTCTTAAAAATTGTGGAAGATATAGTTTTATTTCAGCAGCGAATACAACAATATAAAAATAAAGAATGAATTAGTTGGACAAACAAATCAAGTTGTACTGTGTCATTTCAATATTAATACATTTAAAAGGTCATTTTTGATAGAAATTTTAATTCATATATCCTCTGATATATATATATATATATATATATATATATATATATATATATATATATATATATATATTTTATATGTATATATAGAATTTCTTCACAG